CCTTCACGGTGTATTTTAGATTAAAATATAATACTATATTTTTTAAAATGCTAGATGGTTTTCATTTCAGCCACTGGGAATCTTTTTTGGCGTAGTTTTTGTGTCCCTTTGACATACTCATTTGTGTTTTTCCAGCACAAGATGAATCAAGAATATGGTTTATGTTCTCTGATCCAGACCTAGACTCATCCTGGTTCCTTTTACTGGAGAAATATTTAGATACCAAGATGGGTGTTATTTACAATAGTTATTAGTCAGAGCTAAGACTGTATCTATATGTACACATACATGATGATTCCCGTAACTGTCTGTCTATATGTATATAGAAAAACAAATTTATACCAAAGGGTTTGCTCTTGGATAGCTAGCTTTAATTGTCAACTTCACATAATGTAGAATAACCTTAAAGGAAAGGCTCAATAAGGGATTGCCTAGATTGGATTGGCCTGTGGTCAGTAGGGGGTTGTCTTGGTTGATCAATGTGGAAAGATCCAGTCCACTGTGGGTGGGCATAATTCCCTACGCAGACTGTCTGAACTGTGTAAGAATGGAAAGGTCGAGGAGCCTGCAGAGAGAGCTGGGCCACTTCTGCCCACACTCAGGGCAGAGGTCAGAGGTGAGCACTGGGTCCCTATCTAAGACCCGATTTCCTCCCACTTGTCCTCTCTCAGAGCCCCTGGCTTGGGGACTGTAGCCAGGTTGACTCCCCCCTGGAAGGACTGACTATCAAGCGACCAGGAGCCTGCAGAGAGAGCTGCTCCACTTCCACCCAAGCCAAGGGCATAGGGCAGAGAGCAGAGGCCAGAGAGTATTGGATTTGCTTGCACCCACCGAAAGGGAACCCTGGTGGCCTACCCACCAGGAGAGGAAGAGACTCTTTCTACACCCACTGGAAGAAGTGATGGGGAAAAGGCAATATAAGAACACACCCAGCAACAGAAAAACAAATATGACACCACCAGAGTCTAGAGATTCTACACCAGTAAGACCTAAACACCCCAATGCAGATGAAGCAGAAGGGAATGACCTTAAAAACACCTTCATGAAAATGATAGAGGCCCTCAAAGAGGATATGAGAAAATCCCTTAAAGAAATGGAAGAAAAAACAAACCAAAAATTCCAAAAAATCGAAGAAGGGGAGGAAAACAAGAAGCAAAAACTACAAGAAACAATTCAAACAGTGCAAGGATTGAAGGCTGACAGTGAGACAATAAAAAAATACAGTCTGAAGGAATGCTGGAAATTGAAAAACTGGGGAAACTGACAGGTACTACAGACACAAGCATAACCAACAGAATATAAGATATGGAAGAGAGAATCTCAGGTGTTGAAGACACACTAGGAGAAATAGACTCATCAATCAAAGAAAATCTGAAGTCCAACAAATCCCTAACACAAAATATCCAGGAAATATGGGACACCGTGAAAAGACCAAACCTAAGAATAATAGGTATAGAAGAAGGTGAAGAAACCCAACTCAAAGGGGGCAGAAAACATATTCAACAAAATCATAGAAGAAAACTTTCCTAACCTAAAGAAGGACATGCCAATGAAGGTACAAGAAGCTTACAGAACACCAAATACAGTGGATCACAAAAAAAGTCCCCTCACCACATAATAATCAAGACCCCAAGCATACAAAATAAAGAAAGAATATTAAGAGCAGCTAAGGAAAAAGGCCAAATGACATATAAAGGCAAACCTGTAAGAATTACACCTGACTTCTCTGTGGAAACTCTGAAAGCCAGAAGGTCCGGGATAGATATTCTATCAACACTAAGAGACCATGTATGCCAGCCCAGACTACTATTCCCAGCAAAGCTTTCAATCACTATAGATGATGAAAACAAGATATTCCATGACAAAACTAGATTCAAGCAATACGTATCCACTAACCCAGCCCTACAGAAAGTTTTGGAAGGAAAACTCCAGTCCAAAGATGCTAACTACAACCAGAAAAACATAGGAAATAGATAATCCCACTTTACCAATACCCAAAAGAGAAAAGGGGTGGAAATCCACATACAGTTCCACCAAAACAACCATTCTAAAACAAATGAGAACCAGCAATCAAAGGTCATTAATATCCCTCAATATTAATGGTCTTAATTCGACAGGCTGACAGAATGGATTTGAAGACAGAACCCATCCTTCTGCCGCATACAAGAAACACACCTCAGCCTCAAAGACAGACATTAAAGGGTTGGGAAAAGATTTTCCAATCAAATGGCCCCAAGAAACAAGCAGGGGTAGCAATCCTAATATCTAACAAACTAGACTTTAAACTGAAATCAATCAAAATAGATGAAGGAGGTCATTTCATATTCATCACAGGAAATATCCACCAAGATGAAGTCTCGATTCTGAACATCTATGCCCCAAATACAAAGGCATCCACATTCATAAATGTGACATCCTAGAACCTTCATCCTGTGACTGATGGAAGCAGAGACAGATACTCACAACTAAATACTGAACTGACCCTCTGGAACCCAGTAACAGAGTTGGAGGAGTGATGAGCAAGGCGGTCAAGACCATGCTGGTGAAACCCACAAAGACAGCTGACTGGACAAGTGGGAGCTCTTGAACCCCAGACTGATGACTAAGAGGCCAACAGGGAACTTTGGGAGCCCATTCCACATGGAGGGATGCTCTCTCAGCCTGGACACATGGGGAAGGGCCTAGGTCCTGCCCTGGATGAAATGACAGACTCTGGAGGTCCCCCCCCAAGGAGGGCCTTACCCTCCCTGGGGAATGATGTGGGAATTAGGCTGGGGGTGGGGGGCAGGGGTGGGGCTGATGGAGAGAGAAGGGGGGGGGAGCTGGGATAGACATTTGAAGCATGCATGTTTCTAATTTAAATAAAAAACATACATTAAAAAAAGAAAAAAGAAAAAGAAAAAAAGGGCATAAAGCAGAAGGGATAGGGGGAAGGATTTGCATATGGAAGGATTTGGGAGGAAGTGTGAAAGGTAAATGTGATCAAAATAAACTATTTTCAAAGAGCAAAAAACAAAGAATGGAAAAGTCAAACTGGGAGCAGGCAAGCAAGGAAACACGTATGCATCAATTTCTCTCTGCTCTTGATTAAGGATGGCATGTGATTAGCGTTTGAAGTTCCTGCCTTGACTAACCTGGAATTGTAAACTGAAATAAATCCCTTTCTCTTTTAAGTAGCTTTTTTGTAAGGGCATTATATCACAGCAACAGAAGTTAAACTAGAACATCCCCCTACTTATGTGAAACTTCTTTCTCCATGGTAAGCTTGTCCTCCATTTTTACCATCTTCCATCTATCCATCTACTCACAGTATTCATGTAATTTCAGAATTATTCACCAATACCACCAAGTTAAACAATTTATTATTATAGTGTGTGTTCATGCCACTCCCCTCTGTTTTTGGCCTTATTTTATAGTTTTAAAAGGTACTTAGCTAATATTTTGCTCTATATCTTTGATAAGGTTATGCTCTGTGTTGGTAATACAGATAGATTCATTTATTAGAATCTGTTTTTCTTCCTAGCATGTTCTTACATCCTTGTTGATATTGAAAAGTTTGTTTTCACAGAAGTTTTCTCTTTTTTGAGATAAGGTCTCATGTAGCTCAGGCTACTCTCAAATTCTATATGTAGCTGATGCTGGCCTAGAATGTCTGGTCTTCCTGCCTCCATTTCCCATATGCTATGATTGCAGATGTGTATCATTGCACTTGGCTTAAAGTTGACTCTTCATGATGTATAGCTATTTGAGATCAGGCAAATACATAAAGTCATGTGTCTACAACACCAGTACCATTAAGAACAAGTCACAGTAGAAATTACCTCTTTTGCAATCACCTACTCAGCTTCTCTCAGCTCCTGACAAACACTGAGATCCTTTCCATCTTTAAGTTTTACTTTCTCTAGAATGCCACATCAACTCAATGCTTTCACATGAATCAGTACAACCACTTGCTCATTTTTATTGCTAAGCAGTATTGGTTTTTTTGGTGTGTGTTTATAAATAAAGCTACTATAAACATTAGTGTATATGTTTTATGTGAATAGTCAGCTTGACTGATGAATTATTTATTTAGGACTCTTTCCTGGGCATGTTCCAGGTGCTTGAAGGGTGGGATCATATGTGGAAGATATTGTCAGTCAAGTTCAAAGTTCTTCTCACTGTCCTCATTCTTCTAGAACTTTCTCTAAGAGGCACATGGGGGAGACCGGAAGGCAGGGAAGGGGAGATGGGACTTTCTTCTGCTTGTCCGCATGATTCTCTGGTTATAGAGCCTAAGTGCCACCAGGTGCAGAGGTAGTGCCACGTCTTCATCTGGAGGAGACAGCTGCTGCTATCTTCGTTTTGAGACCCTAGGACCTCTCCCACAGAGCAACGCCACTCCTTAATACTGTACAAATCCCTTTGTTTATAGATGCCTCTAAGTTTCTGGATTATCATTCATGGCCAACAATAACTCGCCCTCAAAGGTGTGAGTTCTAGTTGCTGGGGCAACTCCTCTGAGCACCTTTTCTTCTCTTAGCTCCAGACCCCAGGGATGGACAGCTCCTCCGTGCATTTACCACCCCAATAGCCTTAGCCCCCACCTGCTGTTTCAGTCTGTCCCCACGGTCAACTCCCTCTGATAAATTCCCTTTGGTAGAACACCCAGTGTGTTCCGTAGTTTTCTTTTGTTCACGCATCCTGATAGTTCGGTTCTTTTCTGTTGCTTTTAGAACCAGGGCTACAGCAAGCATCTGCACATGTCTGTGTGTACCCAGGGCACTATCTCTTCCACTTCTGGTTGTGTTTGTCCCTTCCCATGGAGTGTACACCATCCTTGTTCATCGTCGCCTGGTCTTCCTAGAGAAGCCACTGCCCTAGGAGTGCATTCTGGTGCTGACTCTTCCCGTATGACAAGAGCTGAAGCAGGAGTGTTAGCAGATTTTAATCCAGGTCTTTATATTTCCTATATAAATATGGATGTATACATAATTGATAGATAAGTCTGTTAAAATATATTCATTGTTATAAATATTTAATTTTATAAAATATATAACATTTATTGATTACATTTTGTTGATGATATGAAGTTGAATCCATGCTCTTTAATACATCTTCTAACCATTTAAAAGGATTAAATAGCAGATGGCCCACAAGAAATGATCATGTGACCCACAAGAAGAGACACAAATGCATAATTGATCATAGAGTGTCTTTTGCATGAACAACATTAGGACTCAATTATAGATTATGACATTTGGCCCCTGAGACTTTAACATTGTCTCAAAGCAAGGGTCGGGGGAATTTTGTTTGATAGAAAGAAAGAGGAAGAAGAGGGAGCACAGGAGAAGGATGGAGAGGAAGGAAGGATAGAAGGAAAGAGAAAGAAGAAATGAAGATGGGAAGGGAAGAACTTACAACATGCATTGGAGGATGGAACACTGAACAAATAACTCACAGTCACAGAACCTAAGGGCAAAAATGTGAATGGAGTTCTGGTTGTTAGCTAAAAATAGGTCTTGTGATGTACAAGCTTTCCAATAGATAAGCACTTTTGCTTGAGGATGCAATTCCATGGGGCAGGGGATCGGGGCTTGAAGCTTCTTTAAGGAAAAGGTGTAGGTTAAAAGGGCATTGTCCATGGGTCTCAGCTTTTATGTTTGTTTTGCTTTGTTTTGTTTTGTTTTGCTTTGTTTGAGACTGGGTTTCTCTGTATTGCTTTGGAGGTTGTCCTGGAACTTGCTCTGTAGATCAGACTGGCCTCTAACTCACAGGTATCCACCTGCCTCTGCCTCCTGAGTGCTGGAATTAAAGGCGTGCGCCACCAACGCCCGGCTGTCCCTGCTTCTTGGGAACATCATTTGGGCACAGGAGTTGAAGGTTGGACTGAGCAACACAGCAAGACCTTCACTTTAGCAAATATGGGAAGGGCTGTGAGTTTGGATCTGTGCTGGTTGGTTTTTTAATCTCAACTTGACACAAGCTAGAGTCATCTGAGAGGAAGGAGCCTCAACTGAGAAAAATCTTCCATAAGACCCAGCTGTAGGCAAACCCATAAAGCATCTTCCTAGTTAGTGGTAGATGTAGGAGGGTCCAGCCCATTGTAGGTGGAACCACTCCTAGGCTGGTGGTCCTGGGATCTATAAGTAAGCAGTGTTAGCAAGCCATGAAGAACAAGCCAGTAAGCAGCATCCTCCATGACCTCTGCATTCACTCCGGCCTCCAGGGTCCTGCCCTGTTTGAGTTCCTGCCCCGACTTTCCAGTGATGGACTATACTGTGGAAGTATAAACCAAACAAACCTTTCCTCTCCAACTTGCTTTTGGTTAAGGTGTTTCTTCATAGCAATAATAACCCTAAGACAGGATCCCAGCACCCACATTGGGCAGCTTACAACAGTATGTAACTCCAGCCCAGGGGGGTCCAACACCGTTGCCTGGCCTCCATAACCAACTGCACATACCCACATATCTCGTACACATACCATATAACACACTTGATTGGGAACACTTTGCACTTTCCAAAGCCCAAACCCTTTGCCATGTATCATGTAGACCTCAAGATAATCTGGAATCCCATAGAGTTGACACTCATGAGTCCTATTTCCTAGATGAGGAAACCAAGGTTCTCTCTTGCAGTCACACCACTTGCAAGGGATAAATAGCACTGAGGTAAATCCCCAGCCAAGCCCTGTACCACTCAGCTGCAGATAACTGGCTGTGGGAGGCAGGAGGCAGATAACCACCTGCATTTCTCACTCTGTCTTTGCAGCATCCCCAGAACTCTCCCCATCAGATGAGAAGCCATGACCCCTCACATTCATCTGGCTCTCCAGATGGCTGAGGCGCTGTTTCAGCTTCATCTGCGAGGCACTGTACTCAGCCAGGAGTCGTGCAAACTTTGTCTGCAGGGTATCCAAGGATGACTCCAGGTAGTCCACCTTCTCCTCAATGTCTCTGGTACCTTCCCTGGCCTTGACCAGGTCCTCATCAATTAGGTTGTCCTTCATCAGAATCTGTCGACCCTTTTCCTCCAGGGCCTTCTTAGCATCTGGGTATTCCGTGAGGGCCTCCATCAGATCGTCCTTGGAAAGGCAGAACAGATCTGAGTAGCCAATGCTCCTGATGTTGGCCGTCCTGCGGTTCCCTGACTTGCTCCCCTTAATGTTTAAGATGCTGATCTCCCCAAAGTAACTGCCATCGCTGAGGACCACAAACTGGGTGACCCCGTCATCAGCCACCACAGCCAGCTTGCCCTCCTTGATGATGTACATCTCCCTTCCAATGTCCCCCTTTTTGCATATGTAATCCCCAGGGCTGAACACCGTGGGGCGAAGCTTCAGCACCAACTCCACCAGCAGCCCCGCCTCGCAGTCCTGGAAGATTCGGACTTTCTTCAGGGTGTCCAGGTGCACGTTGATGGCGATCTCAGCCTTCAGCTTGTCTGGGAGACTCTTGAGCACCTCCTTTTCATCCACTGTCTTCCTATTAGCCCACAGATAGTCAAACCACCGGATAACCCGAGTCTCCAAGTCCTTGGTTACCTTCCGGAAGTGCATATACTGCTTGATGGAGTCAATCTTAGCCTGGAACTCTGCTCTTGAAGCATTCATGTTGGAAATCATGGAGCCCACGTTTCCTACGATAGTGGCAAAGATCAAAACACCCACCAGGAAGTCTATGACCACAAAGAGATACTCCTCATCTTTCACAGGGGGTGGGGTCTCACCAATGGTGGTCAGGGTCAAGGTGGACCAGTAGAGACTATAAATGTACTTCCTGGAGAGACGCCCATACTCTGGCTTGGAGATGTTTGGATAGACCCAGGAGTCTGTCCCAAAACCTATGAACTTGGAAATGGCAAAGTAGATACAGGCATTCCAGTGGATGATGATGAGGATGTACAGAACCAAGTTTCCTATCCTGAACACATTGGGGTAGTTGGTCCTTGTCTCTGTGCGGTCAAAGAATTCAAAGATTCGAGAGAACTTCAGTAGACGGTTGAACCTCAGTTCCGGGTAGTTTATGCCCAACTTTAAATAAGCCAGGTCTGTGGGGATGAGAGACAGGATGTCCAGCTTAAAGTGTAAGGTCTTTGCGTAATGTTTCCACAGCCTTTTGGTATCCCTGACCATTAAGCCTTGCTCAAGAAAACCTAAGGAGGGAGAAGGGAGAGGTCACTTGGGCATCAAAGAGGCTTAAATTAGCTATAGAAAGACATTTCCCATCACAGTTACACAACAGACAGTGATGTGTATGTGATAGAAACAATTATCAGACATAGCATACAAGTGTTGAAACCCACTCTGGTATGTTTTCTATAATGTTCTAATCTCGTCTGTTAAATTTTTTTTCCTCTGCTGGGAATTGAGCCTAGGACCTTGTATAAGCTAGGGCTTTATAGCTAAGAGTTCCCAATTCTCTATTCAGGTTTAAAAATCATAGATTGAGTAACTTTGAAAATAGACTGGCTGTGAGATGACAGCAAAGAATGAGGATTGAGTTTTAAAAGATAAACAGATATTAGAGAGTGTGCCCAACTGAGACTGGGTGAGGGAATGGGAGCATTCCTAATGCTATTCTCTCTGCTTTCTGTGTATGCTTGAAAATACTGATCATCAAACTTTAAAAACTCAGATAAAAGCCTACCAAACTGATCTCACCAACTATGATGTCCAGTGAAATATTTCAGGGCTTGTCCCCCAGAGCTTAAGACACGAGGCTCTTTTACAAGTTCAAGGTGTTGCTTCTGCTGACCTTTAAAAGTTCCAGTTACCCTTTTCCTCAGGTTATTCTTGTTAAATAATTGCCTTTCTGGATCCAAAGGCGACTGGTTCCAGGATCCCCTTCACCTCTTTCCTCCCAAGGAAATCAAAATCCTTAGATGCTTAGGTAGGTGCCTTCCATAGAATGATGTCTCATTTGCGTATTACCCATGTATATCATCTCGATTATTTTAAAATCCTCTCTAGGTTCCTTATAGTATCCAATACATACAGCATAAATGCCACAAAGTCATTTTGGGCCATGTGGGGATAATGACAAGGAAAAGTAAAATCTCTAAATGTTGGTCACAGAACTTTTTTTCAAGTATTTTCTATCCAGTCAATTGGCTCTCCAGATGCAGGGTCTGTACATCTCGGGTGCTTGTGCGTGTGCTTACGGAAAGCCTTGTGTCGCATCCTGACTTTTGGACTTCTCTCCCTTTTATGATTCTCCCAAGTCTGAAGATCTTTTCCTTTTGGACTGTGATCATGGCCACCTGGTTTCTTGGCCTCTGTCTCCCCCACTTCCTGTGGAGTCTGGCGTTGACACTATCCAAGTTACAACAAGGGGTGGAGTTGATTTCTGAATGCGGGCACGCTGTCCCACTGAAGCTTGTATAAGACACAGGGCAGGGTCTCAGCGGCCACTCACAGACCACTGTGCCTATTTATGCTAATGCACTGCAGCAGAGCTCATCCATGCCAACCTCAAGCTGTGTGCTGGAGGGCTTCTAAGTTGAGATGCTGGGTACCAATGCGGACGGAAGCAGGAGTTGCCAGTCTGGCCTGACTATGGTGTGACAAGGATGGAGCGCCTTGGTTTCTGAATCAGAAAGGTGAAGACAACCTTGTTATTTGTTTCATGTTCTAATGAGAAAGCAAGGTGAGCTGAGAGGATTTGTGCATTGTGGTTTGCTGCTGCAATTTGGTGCGTTTCCCTTGGGCATGGGAGTGTGTGTGTGAGTTCCAAAATCTTAGACGCAACAAGAAGGGCCTCTACAAGGGGAGGTATTTGTGCACATTAGAAAAAGATCCATGAAAGCTAGGCAGACTCAATTCTCACACATAGGTGGGTCTCAAGCCCAACCAGAGCCTGTTTGGAAAAACTCATCTTCCTAGGCCCTGTTTTGAGTTTCAGTTCTTCTTTGAGGGGCTGGGGAGATGACTCAGCAGTTACAAGTACTTGGTGCTCTTTCAGAGGATCTGAATTCAGTTCCCAGCCCGTGTCCAGTAGCTCACAAATGCCTGTCACTCCAGCTCCATGAGGGAATGATGCCCTCTTCTGGTCTCCATGGGCACTACACTCATGTGCACAAACCCTCTCTCTCTCTCTCTCTCTCTCACACACACACACACACATCACTTAATTAAAATTAAATGAAATTTAAAAAAAAATAATAAAAATAAATTGTGACACTCCTCTGAGAACAACAGAGTAGTGTGTGGTTCCTGGATCTTCCACATGTCTGAAGAGAGGAATTCCCAGACCGAACTGAGTGCTACCTCACAAAGTCAGTACTGAAAATGTCTTTTGTGATGGCAGTTTAGTTCTATGTCACAGGTGACAAAAAATGAGGTCCAGAGAGCCAGCTTGACTTGCTCATAGAACATTGGGCAGCATATCTCAAAGGTGATGTGTCTTAATCCATGCTCAGGTCTTGTTGAAGGGTTTAGCATAACTGACCATCAAGATACCAGTACCCACTCTGTGTTTGGTGGAGCTCCGATCTCCCAGGCACATCTCGGTCAAAGATTGGCAACATCCAGTCTGCTATTGTGGATCTTCCTGGGTACACTGGACCCCCTTACTGAAGGTCTGAGACCAGGTCTAGTTAAATCCTTGGGCTTGGGGCACACTCACCTGTCCGGGCTCGAACCAGCATGTCTACAACATAAAGGACGTCTGCAGCGTAGTCCAGGACCAACCACAGTATCAGATGCTCTAACTGAAGCTCATCAAAACAGGCCCTGCAGAAGCCAAGTGTGAGATGTGACAAGACCCGCTGAGTGTCAGAGCACAGACCCTCCCCTCCCTGTGCTGTGAATGGACTCCTCGTATCCAGTCTCAGTTCTTCCTGCAGTGCTACACATGTAATGTAGCAGTTTCCGCCCTGGCCTCCAAAAATGATGTCCCTGCTCCTACCTGCACACAAGCAGACACCAGTTGTAGAAGACCGGCAGGGCAATGACGGTCAGCCAGCGATAGTAGATGTTGCTAGAAGGGTCCACCACGATGGCATCCTTCTTCCTTCTGGGAAAACAGACGTACAGCACTATGTGTGGAAAGGCTTTGCGGGAACTAAGGGGTTAGCTCAGTGACCTGAGAGCGATTTTAGGTTGAGGCTGAAGAAGTTACAAGAGGATCTTCTCCATTCCAAGAGGGTCATATGGCATGCCTCTGTGCAGGACAGCGGGGGTGGGGGGATGGGGTGGGGGTGGGGAGAGATAGACTGGGAGTCAGGCTAGACTTGGAGGTCCTCCCCTCTGGGCCGAACCTCCATGACTGACTGTAAAATCTTGATGGTGATGTTCCCTGGGGCATCATTCTTTTCCTTCAGGGTTCATCCTGGAATGAAAAGGCAGCATGGCAATGTGACTGAGTGCCAATGAGGGAACATGCCAGTTGTCCTTTGCATAACTGAGGCTGGAAGTTTGTGTAGACAGCACTCTGTAATGTGGGGTTCTTTGTCCTGGCAGGGTCCTGCCACCCCTGAGAGCCCCAAATAAACACACAAGACTTATGTAAATTATAAAATTGCTGGCCGGTGGCTTGCACTTCTTATTGGCTAGCTCTGTCTTAATTATGAACTCATTTCTATTAATCTATGTATTTCCATGTGGTCTTATCTTACTGGAGAATACCTTGGGCCTCCTCTCTTCCCAGGCTCTACATGATGACTCCTTTCTGCCTATACTTCCCAAAATTCTCTTCATCTGGTAGCCCCGCCTGTCCTTCCTGCCTGGCCACTAGCCAAACGATGCTTTATTCATTAACCAATAAGAGGAACATATATACAGAAGGACAACTCCCAAGAGCACCCAGTGTCTCTGAGGAAGTTCCACAAGACTGAACTTGGAAGCCCCGAAGAGTGACCTGGGCCCTCACTATCTCTACTTCTCACTGTATTTGGGATAAGACAGAGTTACTTATTTCATTATGACTATCTATTACTCTAGAAGTCTGGGGTAAACCTCTCCATTAAAGTGCTGAGAAATTAGAGGCTCAGGCTAATGTTTTATGTTTACCATCCACTTCCACTAGTCCCTGGAAAGTTACATGCAGCCTGAGACCAGAGACATTTTGATGCAACAGGTTATATACTGAAATTCACATACAAGGAAGAAATGCCATACAGGGTTTAAAAAATCATATGTCATGCCAACTGATTGAGTAGGGGCTGCTAAAAAACTGACTACGATGGTCATGTATGGGGGTACCTGCCTGCAGTCTCAGCACTTAGGAGGCTGAGGCAGGAGGATTAAGCTCAAGACCAGCCTTTACTATACAGGACATCCTATCTGATCTAGTTTGCTTCTGTTGCTGTGATAAATACCACGACCTAAAGCAATCTGAGGGAAAGAAAGGGTTTATTTCAGCTTGCACTTTCAGGTCAGGGAAGGAACCTTATAGCACAAATAATAAAAACCCAGAGACAGATACTGGGGTTCAAACTGAAGATCCGAGAAGCAAAGTGGCCAGGACTAGAAAGTTTTTACCTCTACCAATGCTCAGACAGAAGGGGCAATCCACCGAACCTCAGATTGCATCCAAACTACACTGCTTCACACCAAGTCTCAGACTGCACTAAGCTCCTTATATACCCTCCAGTGCTGGGATTAAATGTGTGAGCTCTGTTTCTCTTTTAGATGGAGTCACTTGCACATAGCCCAGGGGTGGCCTTGAACTCACAGAGATCCATCTGCCTCTGTCTCCTGAGTCCTGGGATTAAGGGTGTATGCCACCACTTCCTGGTCTCTATGGCTGTGGCTAGCTTTGCATTCTGGTCTCCAGGCAAGATTTATTAGATCCTAAACAATATATCACCTCAGAACCTGAAGCAGGAACTGTAGGAAGACAGCTAGCTTTCTCACACACCCAGGTCCACTAGCGTAGGGACGGTGCCACCCACGGTGGACTGGATCCTCATACACCAGCCATCAATCAAGACAATCCCTCACAGATATGGCAACAGGGTTAGTTGGTTAGGAAATCCTCCCAGTTCAGACTCCCTCAAATGACTCTGGACTGTGTCAAGTTGACAGCTGAAGCTCATTAGGACACTGTCTGAGGAACCAGAACAAACCAAACCAAGATAAGCAGACCATAAAGGGATTTTAAACAATAGTTGAAGAGAAGATAAAGAGAAGAACATGTGATTTTAAAGATGAACCTGTTATTTTGTAGACCTATAGATAGAAAGTCAAGAATGGGTCTCACCAGAGAAAAATCAAACAGAGCTGTGATCTTCTCTGGAGGTTTTAGAGGAGCCCTTTTCCCTGTTTCTTGCTTGTTTTTAGTGTTGGCAGGACTCAGTTCCCCATGTTCTTGCTGGCTGTAATGCACTGCAGTCCCTAGCTTTACCATACTGTGGCAGGGCTGTGACACTGGCTGGGTAGGCAGAGTGCTTTCTGCACAAGCATAAAGACCAGAGTTTGGATACTAAGAACCCATGTGCTAGCTGGGCAGACATGGGGACTGCCTGTAATCCCAGCACTTGAGAGGTAGAGACAGGGCATTCTGGGGATAAGCCTGTTTAGAATTGGTGAGCTCCAGGTTCAGTGAGAGGCCCTACTTCAGAAAACACAGCAAAGAGTAATGGAGGGAGGCAGCTGACTCAATTTCATGTTTCCACATATACAAATGTGTGCACCCACACAGACACAGACATACATATGCGTGTGCAAGGAAAAGGAGGAGGAAGAGAAAGAAGGAAAACAAGTGTCAACTGTTCAAACTCTTGGGACCTGTTGTCCGAGTTAGGTTTACCTGTTAACTTGGTAGCCCAGAGGCATTAGAGGGAGTCTGAATTGGGGTATTAGGACCTGCTGACACATCTGTGAGAAGTTGTCTTGACTGATGATTGATGTGCCCACAGCCCACTGTGGGCAGCACTGTCCCTTAGCTGATTGGCCTGGTGTATAGGAAAGGCAGGACTGAGGGACTGTTCAGATCAGGTTGGCCTCTGGCCACATCTGTGGGGAATTGTCTTGACTGATGATTGATGTGGGGGGAGCCAGCCCACTGTGGGTGGTACCATGCCTAGGCTGATGGGCCTAGGATCATGGAGGAGAAGGATGAGGATGAGGAGGAGGAGGAAGAGGAGGAGGAGGAGGAAGAGGAGGAGGAGGAGGAGGAGGAGGAGGAAGACGCAGAAGCAGCAGCTGTGGCATTTCTTTGTTCCTGACACCATATCTGTCCTCAGTGTGAGTTATTATGCCAGCCTAACCCTTCAAAGTTTTGGTAATAAATACTTTTTTTTGGTTTTTTGAGACAGGGTTTTTCTGTATTGTTTTGGAGGCTGTCCTGGAACTTGCTCTGTAGACCAGGCTGGCCTTGAACTCACAGAGATCCACCTGCCTCTGCCTCCCGAGTGCTGGGATTAAAGGCATGTGCCACCAACGCCCGGCTAATAAATACATTCTTTTAAAACGTTTTAATTTAACTAAAGCTTTCATAGGAACAGTCACACGTGGCCACCTGACTCGAATAGGACAGACTGCTAAGCTCCAGCCAACTGAGTTGCAGTTGTACCTCATCCCTGCCTTAAACACTGCCCAATTTGGTTTGGAGGCCACCTGATTGCAGAGTTGTGGATGAAACAGAATTGAGATAGTAAGAATAATTTTATCTTTTGATAATGGATAAGAACAAAGAGTTCTTCAATTTGTTAATCAAGAAGCACAGAAAACAAGTCACTGGTCCTGTCTCCTTGTACCTACTGGAGTGATCTTAATGAGTGCCACCAGCAGAGGGCGCTGCCCACAAGCTTATTGGGCTCACTTGCAGCTGCACAGCGCTTCGGCTTCCTTTGGCCAGGCCTTGAGGCTCTGTGTCATATATGTTTGGGCTTTTCAAAACCCCTGCTTCCCAACCACTGAGAACCTAGTCCAGAATCATCCAGCTGAACCCCTAGATCACTGCCCCCAAATCCTATACTAATACCAATGGTTTTGAGCTGAGAGCAATTTGATCCCAGAGGGAGAAGTTATACCATATTTAGGGACCAAATAAAGATAGTAGAAATGGGAAGGAGACTTGAAGAAAGAGGCCCGGAGAGAATTGTCACCTGTGGTCTGAAGGAATTAGAGTTCTACTCAAAGAACAGAGCGAGAAGAAAATAAGAACCAAGCTCTGGCCCTTTGCCAACGGCAAGTCAAGCAATTGGTATTTCTTACTGCTGCTGATGGCTCCCTCTCATCTTCAGTGAGGACATTCCCAAGAGGCAGAAGCCTCGGTCTGTGTGCCCATGCAAGTCTGCTGTTGCCCATGGGCAATCTCACTCTCATTCACACAGGGCATTTGCGTAGCACTGTCTTATTCACACACTGAATGAACTCATCTGCCAGCTCAGGATCTGTGACAGAACCTAGGCATGGCAGGTCACCCTTCCAAGAGGCTGGTCACCCTTCCAAAGTGGGATTCTATGTAGGAGTGGGGTGGTGAGGGGTGGTAGGGGTGGTGGGGTGGCTCCTGGGATTGAGGAAGGTGAAAGCCAGCATACCTGGCTGGGGCTTGGGTGCTTATTCTTCCTGTGGGTTGCTGCCAAGTGTTAGCATCATTCCTGGCCCTGGGCCAGGCCAATGGGGATGGTTTCAATGACTCAGGTCCATTTTTGCCTGAGGTGACAATGCCAGCAACTCCACCCACTTCTCCCTAGCATTTCTGTTCACAACTTTCTGCTCACAGGGTATTGTTATTGTCAGGAACACAGTGTGTGTGCGTGTGTGTGTGTTTGTGTATGTGTGTGTGCACGCGTGCACATGCATGCATGCATGCATGCATGCTTAGGTGTGGGGACAAGCTTGGGGGAAGAGAGGAAAAGCACTTGGATAAACCCAGGCTTCTGGATAAACAGGATTAATGGTTTGAATCCCATCTAATTTCCGAGCTTCAAATTCTACTCAGTTCCCTTCTATTCGCCCCGCCCCCCCCAACAGGATAGTGAGCCTTTATCACTACAGGACTCAGTGGCACCTCTACCTTCTGGCCTTCCATGCTTTGCAGGTGAAGGGACTCTGCCTTCTACATTATAGGGGGAGGGCGCACACTCCCCAAGGAGAAGCTATTTCCTATTCTCATCTACACAGACCAGATATGGCTCTCCAGGGTACTGCTTCTTCAGAATTTAGTCACAGTAACTTCTGTCTTCCAATCAGCAGGCCAGAAGATTGACAAACACATCTCCAGGCTTAGGTTTATATCCCCTCTGCTCCCGACCCCTTCAGGAATCTCACAGCCTCAGGCCTATGGCCCGCATCTGTGGTCCACCCAGGAATGCGGTAGAAGGTAGGGGCTGGTTTGACACACATTAGATACTCCCCGTCACAGCATCCCACAGGTGTTCTTCTCATTGCTGCCAGGACAAGCTTCTGACACAAGGGGTAAGAAAGCCAGGTGACCTCACAGAGCTAAGAGGGTACCTCGCTTATCAGCCAGTTGCTGTAAATTGCTCATAGGAGACCACTGGGGGGGGTGCGGGAAATGGTTGGTGATGCCACAGCCTGACTAAATGTGCTTCTTCTACGCTAATCTGGCTAACTTCGCCAAAGACTTCCTCTCCCTGTTTAAGACGTGGCCTCAGATGCTTGTTTCTGGGTTGTTCTACTGGTCTGAAAATTCCTCACTGACTTGAAATTCCTGGGAGTGGTGGAGAGGGCACCCATCTCCTGGGGTAGAGTGGCCTTACTTCCACAACACTAGATCCACGAGGAGGAAGTATCTCAGTAGATATTTCGCTTGGCAGCTGGGACTTGGCCTCCAAAAATTCAAAACCCTCCTTCTCCATGAAGTCCCCATCCTACACTGTCCCATCCATCTGCCACCCCGGGCCTTCTGGTGAGTAGCCAGGCATCTGTGGTCTAGCCCTGAGTGGTTCTCACCCAGTCCTCCACTATTTGGTCACACGGGGATTATGTATTTCAGTACAGCATCCATCTCCATTAGTCTAAGGTTGGAGGAGGATAATTTAATCAGATTACCTAAGGAAGTCTTTATTTACTTAAAACAAATTGAGCCAGTCCAGCTAGCTGTAGAAAGTTCCAGACTGCCTTCAGCTGAAAAGCAAGCAAGTGCAGAGAGCAGTGGTCCCACTGTGTCCTTTTCTGGGCCTGCTGTAGTGCCCAGCCCACGGTCCTGCTCAGGGACAAACAAAAGGCTAGTAACTCTTTTCTGGGTTGGGGTGTGGCTCCGTTTATAGACTGTTTGCTGAGCATACACGAAGCCCTGAGTTTGATCTTGAGCACCGCAAGAGCCAGTATGGACACTAGAAACCCAACACTATGCAGATGGAGGCAGGAGGATCAGAAACTCAAGGTCATCCTCAACAGAATAGAGTTTGAGGCTCAAATGGGAAAGGCAGAGTGTGAGGCCCTGTGCTTCCCAAGGACGTGGCCCCATCCCTCAGATCTCCTCTTCCTGGCCCATTTGCCATTTCTCTTGTGTCTCTGTGTCTCTACACTCCATCAGGGTCTCCAATGACTGGTTCTGCTCTGCTCTCGTCCTGGTCAGGACCCTGGACCCCTACAAACCCACAAGGGTTTGCAGCTGCCGCCTGTAGGGAACCTCACACATGAGCATGCCTCTCCAGTGGGCCCTTGAACCTCAGCCAGGACCTTGACACCTTTTGTGATGGTTTGAATAAGAATGCTTGGTCACCAGGAAGTGGAACTCTTTATAGGATTAAAAGGATTAGGAGAAGTGGCCTTGTTGGAGGAAGCCTGTCGTTGGGGCTAGGCTTTGGGGTTTCAAAAGCCCATGCCAGGCCCAGAGTCTCTCTTGTTGGCTATGGATGAGGATGTAGCTCTCATCTAGTTCTCCAGAACCACACCTGCCTGCCTCCATGTTCTCCCACCATCGTGCTCCTGCCTTGATGGTCATGGACTAACTCTCTGAAACTACAACCAAGCCCCCAATTAAATGCTTTCTCTTATAAGAGTTGGTTATGGGGTCTCTTCACAGCAATAGAACACTGAAGATGACTTTCTTCAGTACAGAAAACTGAATCTGGGTTTATCGGCAGAAAAGTCCCTGAACACTTGTAGGGTGTGTGTGTGTGTGTGTGTGTGTGTGTGTGTGTGTGTGTGTGTGCGTGCGTGCACATGCACACAAGTATATGTGTGAAAATCAGAAGACAACCTCAGTGTCACTTCTCAAGTACCACATACCATTATTTTTTGTTTCCTTTTTTTATTTATGTGTACATGTGTTTTGCCTGCATGCACATCTGTGTCCCGTGTGCATGCTGTGCCCATGGAGGCCAAAAGATATCAAATTCCCTGGGATTGGAGATACAAATGGTTGTGAGTCAACATGTGGGTGCTGGGAATTGAACCTGAGTCCTCTCAAACAATAGCCAGCACTCTTTACCACAGAACCACCTACCCTAGCACTATCTACTCTTTGTAAGACAGGGTCTTTCACTGACCTGGAATTCAGTGAGTTAAGCTGGCCATCTAGAGTATGTAGTACTCCCTGAAGGACAGATGCTCACAGGGGTCTCCTCGGGGCATCTAAGCTGGACCCATGTGCTTCTCAGCTGTCTCAGCTGGTGTGCAGCTGGTGTACAGGTAGCCCTCTTCCTGTTTTCTGTTTCTTACCCTTTCCCTGTATCTGGTGGTTCCTGTCCGCCTTCGTTGGGCTGGGCATTGCTTTCCTGGATGGACACCTCATTCAGCTCAGCTCCATGGAAACGGTCCAAGAAGGAATCAGGTCTCTGGTCCTCATGGTGTAAGTGCCTGGCAGCCCAGGCACGAAGTGAGATGATGAGGCGTGACACCCTGGAAGGAGAAAGGATAGGCAGTGGCCAGAGCATAAAGGACAAGAAAAAGACCCTACTCTGGCCTTGAGGGGCCCGAAGAAGCAGAGGTGAGCAGTGGAGGTGAGATTGGGGACTGCGACTCAGAATTCTATCTCTACTATGTCCTTTTCTCCCCTTCTTCCCTTCCTTCTCCAGTCTTGGGGAGAGTCTCATTGATAAATGATGCTATTTCTTTATTATGGCCTTGTCCTTTCAAATCTCCCACAGCCATGCTCTGTCCAATGGGGCATTAGCAAGCATTTCTACTCATTATTCCTTCTGCCCAAAGCAGATCTCTTGTTAGGGTTATTAAATGAGAACTGGATAGCTCATCAGTTAAGAGCGCTTGCTGCTTTTGAAGAGGGCCTGAGTTTGGTTCCAAACAGCTTGCAACATTTGTAATTCCAGTTCTAGGGGATTGGATGCCCTCATCTGACGTCAATGGGCACAAGACACTCACACAGTGCAATACATACATGCCAGGCAAAACATACAGATAAAATTTTAAAAAAACTTTGAAAAATATTGCTAGGCATAGGAACAGTGGAAGTAGACAATCCTTGTGGTCTAAATGGGAAATGTCCCCCATAGGTTCATGTGTTTCAACACTTGGTCTCCAGTTGGTGGCACTGTTTAGAAAGACTGTGTGACTGCTAGCCTTGGTGGAGAGAGTGGGTCACTGGGGGGACAGGCTTTGATGTAATGACCAGCCCTGCTTCCCTTTGTTTTCTGCTTCCCAACTGCTCATGCAGTGTGCCAGCTGCCCCCTGTGCCACCCTCACTGTGATGGAATTGTAAGTCATAATAAGCCCCCTTCCCTTAAGTGACTTCTTGACAGGTATTCTCTCAGACAATGAACAAGCATCCATATAGAGTGTGAGCCCCTCCCCCACACAAGTATATTCTAGTCATTATTTTTCTCATAAGCTCCAGGACTTGGTTCAGTCTGGTGCAGAAGTACCTTTGCAATGTGTCTGAGCCCTATCCTAATATCAGACCCTGCTATGGGCTCAGTCTCTGAGGTTGCAGCCCACGTCTCTAGAGCATATCCTAGCTGGAACATTCTTTGGGAAGCCTGCACCTACCGTGCTGCTCACCTCTTATGTTTTCACCAGAGAGGGAGAAGATAGGCTCAACCCCATTTCTTTGCTTTTGTAGTTTTATTCTTTGTGTGTGTGTGTGTGTGTGTGTGTGTGCCAATGCTCATGTGCACGTGTGCATACACACACACACACACACACACACACACCATATGTATGTAGGTGTCCAAAGAGTGTTGTGAGCCAGCTTATGTGAGAACTGAACCTGGGTACTCTGTAAGAGCAGCAGGTTCTCTTAACACTGAGTCATCTCTCAAGCTTTCCTTCCCCCTGCCTCTATTTCTCTGTTTTTGCCTCTCTCTCTGGTTTCTTCCATTCCGTATCTATAGAGACCTCCACATATGGTGTTCCTAATACATTCAGACCTAAGCAACCTGCAACCAAGTCATGAATTGCTAAATACCTTGACCCTAATTATACTCTTGCAGCTGCCTCCCAGGCCCCTACTCTGTCTCCATGGCTTCATCTCTACCACAGACCACATGGCTATCCTGAAACAGTGCCCTGTCCAGTATACCTGAGGTCTTTACATTTGCACTGACTCGAAGATGCTTTCTTCTTTGCAACCAGAGACTCGAGAGAGCAAGTCTTATTGATATAAGATGTTGGAAACCATTTTGATACCCAACTACAACCAGCTCCTTAAAAAATCAAAATAGAGGGTCTGCTGAGATGGCTTAGTAAATAACATTCTTGCCGTGTAAGAATAAAGACACATATCTTGGATCCCAACACCCATGGAAAAGCCAGTGGGATGGTATATGTCTGTTATCTGAGTTCTAAGGGATAGAGACAGGAAGACCTCTGGAGATCGGTGGCTAGGCAGTGACCTCAAACTCAGTGACTTAAGGTAGAGACTTAAGGTGGACAGCAACTGAGAAACACTTAATCTCTCTCTCTCTCTCTCTCTCTCTCTCTCTCTCTCTCTCTCTCTCTCTCTCACACACACACACACATACCACACCACACACTCCAGAGTAGAATAACATTTTCTACAAGTAAAAATACAACGAACACCTAGATAATAAATAAGAGAAAGAAAATGGATAAGTAAATTCACCAATTGACTCATTTGACCATCAGCCTAACCAGCACTATAGATGGCTGGCTTAAGAAAGTTGCATTGTGGAGCATCTGCATGAGATGGCTGCTGGGAATTCTACGGCTCCAGCTACCCCTGCAGCCAGCACTGTTAGAAGCACTTTCAAATGAGGCTCGCTCCGAAGGGCGGAGTGACTTTTTTATGTGCTACTGCTGGATAAAGTCAGGTATCCCTGGAGAGAGGTAGAGTTTAGAGATTTGCCAGTCTGTCGGGTGCTTTTGCAAGGATGCGTGCCAGAGTCTAGACATACTAAGAAACCTTCCAGTGCTACTTCAGGAAACAACATCCTCAGCATCCCACTATGTCTGCCCAATGTCCTCTCCTGGCTACCCAGCCTCACACGGCCTCTTTTGGATTTGTTATGAGTGTCTCCAGGACTGAGAAACACTCCATGCTATTTTTTATTAAAGTCATTTCAAACTAAAGCTATTCGTCTTTGACTTTTCTGAGCTCAGATCGTCTGGTTCAAGAAGAGATAGGAGTTAGTCACTGATAGATTCTAGGGTGCTCTGCTCCTTGCCCTGGTCTGCAAATCTTCAACCCTATCTAACACGCCTTCTGAGGTATCCCACAATCTTTGTGCCTCAGTCCCTATTTTTCCAAGGTGAAGATTGTGCAGGGTTCATTACCTGACGGGCCCCTGGCTTGTGAATAAGCTCCGTGCAGATCCAGCCAGTCCTTGGGTCTCCATGGCGATCCCTGGCTGCGGTGTGGAAGATGTCTCCTCACATGGTGAGTGAGACCTAGGAAATCAAATATGCAGCATGCTAATTGATTTCAAGCTCATCCACCTCTCAGTCAGTCAGGAGTGAGATGGGGAGACGCTGGCAGCAGGAGGAAAAACACCATTGCAGATTCTCAAACCAGAGGCCCTACTTCCAACCATAGTAAATCTTGACTTCTGAGATAACATGACCCTTCCTTTTACATTTACTTATTTGGTTTTGCTCTGTGTGTGTGTGTGTGTGTGTGTGTGTGTGTGTGTGTGTGTGTGTGTGTACCTACCATGCAAGTGTGGAGATCAGGGGACAACTTGTGGGAGTATGTTTTGGCTTTCCACTGGTGTATTCCAGGGACAGAACTCAGGTCTTCAGGCTTGACAGCAAGGCACCTTTACCCACTGAGCCATACTGTCACTTCCTTTACAGCAGATCTGACCAAGGACAGCAGTTTTTTGATCAGTTACCATATATGAGTTAAGTGAAGGCAGGGGAACCCACAGAAAGTGTTAGCATGATCTCCATCAGAGATTGGGGCCAGAGGAAGTCCCAAGACCTGCCATCTTGGACCAGAACAGATGTTTCCATGCAATGCTTTTGGCGCAAAGATTTTTACTTCCAAGATGTCACTGACTTCTGCGTCTGGTCTACCTCCTTCTAGAGGCCTCCCTTCCTACTCTGTGTGCTGTGGATATACTTTCTGAACACTTATGTACTTGTCTGGCAGCTTTCCTACCACTCTGGGTCATTGTATGAATTTGGCCTACTCCTCCAAGCATAGTTAAAATAATCTGAGCAGTGTTTAAAAAAAAAAAAACAACAAATTCACTCATCCTTTGTCAAACGGTCTCTGTCCCCAGCAATGCAACAGTAAGGAGGAGTTACTCCATCTATGCATTCAGGGTGGACAGCACAGGTGTTGATAGGGCAGGAGACCACAGGTCCGCGCGGGTAGTGGAGCCTCGTATCTGATGAACTACCTTGAATAGACCAGGAGTGTGTCCAGGAGCATTTCTCTCTCTTTAAAAACCTCCTAAGGCTGAATTTGACCAGCCTGATTAAAAACCAGTCAGGCAGTGTCACCCAGGGATCTGCACTTCACTCTATGACTCTTGAGGAAACCCAACAAGGCAAATTAATTCTATCACGTGGCCTATTCCAAACTAATCGGCTTTCTTAACGAGGTGGTTGAAGGTAAACATTAAGTCAGGGGAAAGCTTTACTCCCTGTGGTGAGAGATTAGAGTCCTTGAATCCCAGGTGCTGAGTCCCTTCTCGCCACAGGCCACCCACAGGGATGAGGTGTGTGAGGGTGGGGTGGGGACTCATTATTTCCATGCTATCTAGGATGTCTTTGGATAGCCACAATTGCCCGCATGCACCCTCTTCTCCCAGCTTCCTCCCAGCAAGGTCATTTTTTTTCCTGTGGAACCACATGGAATTAGACCGACTCATCTGTTGTGTTGGCCACCTTCAGTGATGGGGACCAATACAAACTCAGGCTGTTCAGGTCACAGATCCCATTCATTCTTTTTTGTTTTTTGTTTTGTTTTTGTTTTTTGAGACAGGGTTTCTCTATGGCTTTGGAGGCTGTCCTGGAACTAGCTCTTGTAGACCAGGCTGGCCTCAAACTCACAGAGATCCGCCTGCCTCTGCCTCCCAAGTGCTGGGATTAAAGGCGTAAGCCACCAACGCCCGGCCCCATTCATTCTTTCTCAGGTTCAAGTCTCTCTTCATCACGGTCAACTTACTGAGGTCTAGCTTAGCCATGTAGTGAAACCAAGAGCACCCTGTGATTACTGAGACCAAACCAGGAAGTATGTGTTGGTTTGTGTGTTGTTGTTGGTATCAGCCAAGTCTCAAAGCCTTACAACACAAGTTGTTGGTGACTCCGATGTCTTCAACTTGCACCGGTATGATGGATTTTTTTTTATAGTTGAATATTAGGCTTCCCCGTTTATCTGAGTCATGTGATGTTTTGCGATCTTTGGTGTGCAGAGGAATCATTCCCCTGCCATCTCCCAACATGTTCACAAATACAACAAAAACACACACCATTG